ATTCTTCCAGACCCAGACATTTTTACATTTGATAGAATCAGAAGCCGCACAATGGCGGATAATTCTTCGCAAAAAAGGCGATATTGCGACAAGAAACAGGTAAAAATGCGTGGCTCTTTCTTCACCCTGCTCGTCAGGATGATCCCCTCTGTCTTGCGTCGACACGAAATCAACCATTTTACTTATTTTATCGCAGTACCGAAGCGAATGAACGAAACGAACAACAAGATAAGAAGTACTGCAACTAGCTGGTGCACGACCTCAACACCAAACTACTCTGCTCCTTTGGTGCAAAGAGATTGATACGAGGAGAACGACAGGTAAAAATTCTGGAAAATAAATCCACAAAGTTCTTTGATGTTCTATTCCGTGAAGCTGCTACTTCCAGCGTGCTCGTATGCTGACAATTATACCGGAGGTAACCACAGGTAGAAGTGGTCTCTTCGTCAATCAAACGATCAACATACTGCTGGAACAAGAAACATTCACCTTGATGCAATAGCCCTAGCACAGTAATACAATATAATACCGTCCTCGCATTTTCGTTTTTCGTTATTCAGCATCTCAAGATTTTTGGTTGATAACACAAACGAGGCTTCACATCAAATCGTTTAGTTTTTTCTTAGAAGTTTTTCGTTTTCCTTTTCCCTCAAGCTGAGGGATAAAGTAGTAACTCGCGCGAGCGCAGTTACATTAGATAGCTGTAGTAAGTGGCGCTAGCGTTACTGGTATCTTCTCGAACTTCTCCGCGTAGTTCAGGTTTTGTGGCAAAACTCGTTGAGGACCAGAAAAAGTTGCATACCCATACCAGCGGTACTAGATTTGCTGCAAGTTCGATAGCTGTTTCAAAGGAGCAACAGGATAAAACAAAACTGCTGGTGGTGCTATCTTCAATATTCAATATATAAAGAAGCGCCGAGTAGTAGGGTAAGTTTCCGTCGGCTGTCATCTCGAAGCCTGCTGCCCGGCTCTTTTTTTCCTCTGCTTTCTTCGTGTTTCTTCTAGAGCAGAGTCGTCTCACGATAAAACTGCGATCACTTGCACTCTGCAATGGAGTGAATATCTTTCGAGCTTGCCACTGCCACAGTTCTATTCTTTACAGATGAAAAAGTATAGCTGCAACACGCAGACACAAGCAAAGTGAGTTTGGTCTGCTGAACCCAAAATCATATCTAGATATTCCAGGCACTGATGACAACTGCATTTACAAGTAGAGAAATATATGCACGCTCTGCTCTGCATTTCGGTGAATAGATTCACAGGCACTTCGTTGGCTAAGTGCCGGCGCATCTTCTGACGGTCATAATGCATGCTGCAAGCATGATACTGCTCCGATTTTATTTTGTGCGCGATGAAGGTTGTTTAACATGCGTCATCGACGGATGACAAGCTTTTGCCACTGATGAGCGATGACAAGCATAGCTGTCCAAGATGGAATCTCGGTGAAAAAATATTCCTTCGCCCACTGCTAACTAGCCAAGGTTAGCAAAAACAGGTCAAGAAGATGAGATTATCACTTTATTCCTCCAGGAGAGCCACGCCCGCCACGCCGTTGCGCCATCTACTACAGAGCCTCTTGCGTGGTCGTAGTAAATTTACAGTTTACATATAAATCGGAACAAAATGCAGCAAAGCAGCACGCAGGCTGACAAGAAAAATTAGGTCTAAATTTGTATCGGGATGATAAGTTGTAAAAATTGTATTTCATAGCTCATATTTCACTTGAAAAGTCGTGGGGAAGCAGCTGGGTGATGTTTTTCATCTCATCTTCTAAATAATTTTAGTACAATTTAATCTCTCATCAAGTGCAGACTTTGTAAGACCAAAGCCCCGAAACAAGGGATGAAATTGTCGTAGAAAATAAAATGAGCGGGCAGTCTTCCCCATCCGTGGTGGGAGATTGAGACGTCAAAAAAGGACACAGCGTATTAAACGCGCGTCTTCTTGACATTGACTTGATCGTCAAGTATAGATTTATATCGGATAGGATTATACTGCGGTATGAACTAGAGACATGATTAGTGAAATACGACCCACATAATTCACGGTTCTTGTGAACCTCAGGCTAATATTCTGGGTCATAGTTTTTTCCCTGTTTTTGAAAAATAGTACGCACGGCCCCTTACTATTGTAAAACTAGTGTTGACAATGACAATCACCTCCCCAGGGCAAAAAAGCCGAGAAGAGAGAAAGCAACACCAGCAGGGCGCGGAAAAGTATAAAAAAAAAATCTCCAGGTATGCGGTGTAAAATTGGTAAAAGACAATAAAAAAATCTTGTCCCTCGTCTCATATTTGTGCCAATCACCGGGTTGATGGTGCGGGCTCTTCTATATCTAAAAAGGTGCCGCTACTCAAAACGTTTTTATCAAAAAGTAACTTCATCCTCATAAATGTCAGAGGCTGTTGGAGATGAAGTGCGTCGCGCTGAAATTTTTGTTGTCTCGCTTGTAGTTCCTATCGTGATCATACATCGTGCTGCTCTCCGTGGTCTCCAGTGGAGTATTCAACAAATTTAATACATAAATATTTACCAAGCGTTGGCATAATAAAGTCCCGCGGTGCCAGTGTTAATACTCATAGAATGCTGTTGACCAGCTACAGATCCACCAGTGCCAGCAGCATGCCGGGCCGCCTGTTGCTCCTGGTAAGTCGTTGCTCCCGCAATGTTGCTAGCAGGGGCTCCTAGTCCTACAGTGCTCCCTTGATTCCCATCATATATTGAGAGGAAAAATCCCCCCTCCCCATATCAAAACGGAAATCTGTGATGCAGCTTTGTTGTCACAAATCAGCTTTGTCATGCTACACGGGAAAAGATGCGGACTGTAGTGCTGGGTGGCGTGGAGGGGGAGCCTTGCATCTTCAGCATGATAGGAGGCAGCTGAGAGTGGGAAACAGCGTGACAAATTGCCTGCAAACGAGACCACGACTGCGGCTCTTGGCCTTCTAGCATGACAAGTCGACTTGGTACCTCAAATCCTGCATCACAGATTTCCATTTCGATATGGGGAGGGGGGATTTTTCCGTTGGATATCGTAAGCCGCGAAGCCATACCCCTGTTCGTTCCACGTGCCAGCCAGGAGGGAAGCACTGGTGCCCGCAGTAGAGCTAGAAAATGATGCGCGGCCGGGACCATCTGCGAAGATTGCAGGGCTCGAGACCTGCTGCTGTGCCTGGTCTTCTTCCACCAATTGTTGGCGGTGTGGCACGTAAAACCCAGACCGCTCGAAATCTCCATTTTGTGCGGGGGAACAAGAAGTTGTAAGCACAGTACTACCCACCTCCATGGCTCCCTCTGAGCTGTGCTGGGGCCCAAGCCCAAGAACACCTGCGGAAGTACTAGTAGAGGGATGCGCGAAAGGGGAAAAACAAACACTGCTTTGATATGCTCCTGAAAAACTACCCGGTTGTGCTGCGTCTTGCTGTAAGGCTTCTGCCGCAAAAAATGTTGGTCCTGGCGATGATTTATCCTTTGCAAAAGTATCGTACTCGTACTAGTCGCAGTCATGCAAGACAAATGTTTTCTTGAAGCTAAATCAGCATGAGACATTCCATTTGTCATGCTGAAGTAGAAGTAATTTGTATTGCAATAATACGACTACGATACTTTCGCATTGCATAGGATTGGTAGCCAGTAAAGATCGCGTCAGACGAGGCTGATCCATTCCGGTTCTGAGCACTGAAGAGGTCATTGCTGTATAATCCTGGACTGTACATCATCCAGTCACTATTGTTGGGCGAGGAGGCCGCTGCGCTCGTCGCACCTGGAATTTCACGGACTGGTCCTGCTCCGCCATAGTTTTTACTGTCGTGATCAGCAGCCGATGTAGTTCCTAGACGTGGTTGTTCTGTTCCCGCATTATTGCTGTAGCTGTAGGGGCTAGAGGACAAGGAACTCGAGCCGCAATTATATAGTTGCTGCTGATTCATGATTGCAAGACGTCCCGGGGAAGAAGAGGAAGGTCCGGAGGATGCAGATGCTGTGTTGACAGAAGTTGGTGCATTATGTTGCTGCTGGTTTGTATTTTGTGCGTCCTGCTTCTGTGCGGCCGCTAGCATCATCGCCTGCTCAGTATGCAATACAAACCTGCCACCGTACATCAGGTTGTGCAACACGACGCATGAACAAATGACGATTTCCCCACATCAGAACTGAACAAGCATGCAAGTTGTCATGCAGCATGTTGAAAAGCAGGGGATCATCCCCGTAGATTGATATAGAGTCCCATTGATATACACCGAGGTCATGTACTAGTATCATTACGCGGCTAGATTTGCTGTGTTCTCATTTCATACTCTGCTGCCTGTTGATACCCCCTTTCGAACGCAGAAATCGCAGCCTGGTGGTAGTATTCTTGGTTGTTGGAGCGGGCAACGCCTGGTTGCGCCGACGCGGACGGTGCGAAATTCGCGCCAACAGCCGGACTGCTCGTAAGAGCGTTCACTCTAGTCGTCGATGCTGAAGTCGTGCTGAATCCTGCTCCTGGGAGTGATCCTTCCTGTGCTGGTGGTCCTCCAAATGCGATGACACTACTTTCAACAGCACCAGTGTTCTTCATCGCAGTAGAAGATGAATTGTTGTTGATCAGAACATGCGGCGCAACGTCAGGCGGCAGCGGTGCGTGGCCCATCAGTCGCATGGCCTCCTCATATTGCTCGTCTGGGTCTAGGTCATGATCGCCCTCGTCCGCACAGGAAGACGACACTCACTGCAGTTGCTGAGGACAAGTTGTTACCAGGATAGAAATTTTGGTTGAAATCATTATTGCTCCAGTACGTGTTGTACGTCGACTCTTGCAACATCAGACCACCTCCCTGCTTTGGTGTCCCCAACATCTTCGCAGCTGCAGTACTACTATTTCCGGCGGTAACGGCAGTCAAATGGAGTGGTAACGTGGGAGGCTTTTGGTTTTGATTTTTCTTCTCCTCGTCCTCGCCGGCGCAAGTAGTTGCACTACCAACATTCCGCCATTTCTCAATAGCCTCTCGCCAGTCGTCTCGTTCCTTCTCAGATTTGGTTTTCTGCAGATCGACTTCCTGTTGCAGGTTATGCAGTGCAAAAGTATCGTACTCGTATAAATGCATGTCTTGCATTACAAATACTTTGCTTAAGGTAAATCAGCATGACAAATTTCATTTTTCATGCTGAGAAAATTTGTAATGCATTTATACGAGTAGAAGTACGATACTTTTGCAGTTCATACAGGTGGCAAGAAGCCGACGTTTTTTTAGCATGATCCTTTTCATCATCGGATGTAGTTCCACATGCAGCCGCGAGGCCACCAGTTGCACCTACTTCTGCGCCCGAAAGTTGTGCAGCTTCTGGTCTACTAGCTCCTGCTGCAGACGACCTGCCCGTTTTATCATCTGCAGCTTCAACGGAAGCAGAACCAGTAGCGGGCTTGTTCTGCATGGCTGTTCGTTCTGCGCCACAAGAACTACTGCTCCGATCTGCAGATAAAAAATCATACTGCTGCCCCTCCGCCAAAACGAAGTTCTCATCCTTTGGAAGCGGTTGATACATTTGTTGCATCTTGCCGGTCGCGGAGGGGTTTTTACCCATAAAAGCTGCCGTCTGCGTCATCGTACTAGCGCCGTCCATCGCGTGGGCGTACTTACCTCCACCTTTCTTCCCGGAGGCGGTGAAGCCTCCAGGTGGATCCCCTTTGTAGTTCCCGCGGCTGGTGATGTCGTATGATCCTTCATGACTAGTAGGGAAAGAACTACTAGAAAGCGCATAACTGTTGTCATGAGCAGGATCGTGTACTATTCCGCCAAAGTTGTTAGCCGTTTGGATTTGCGCTGTTGTGGAGGAGGAAGAATTCCAGTCTTCATGCCCGCCGCCCGGAGTCGTGGAGAACATTTGAAGTTGCTGCGATGTCGACGAGTCACCTCCCTGAAGATGGTGCTGGGCGTAAAAGGCTGCCGGGTCAGTAGCACCAGCGAATGGTGTGCTGATAGAGATTATCAAATGCAAAAAAGTCTGGGTCTGGAAGGTTGCCGGGTTTGTCATGCATATTTTGCATGACTCAGGATGTCTGTAATGCGTGATCTAGCATCACACATTTTTAGAAGCCTTCCTGATGCCTATCCCGCATGACAAATGCCCTCCCCGCGTAGCACAAACTGGGCTCCTCATCTTGGTGGTCATGCAATACAGATCTTTTTAGCATCCAAAGTTAGCATCACAAGTTCCAACCTTCCAGACATTTTTGCATTTGATAGTGATAGAATGATCTTCCCACACCGACATGGAGTTGTAGGCATACTGGAGATCGTGGTACAACTCCTGATCAACCACGTTGTATTGCGCACCATTTTTGTTCCCGATAGTCGATGTACCAGCGAAAGCAGAGCCACCCCCTGGTGGTCCTTTGTAGAAGTGCTTTCCCGCTCCTTTCTTACCCTGCTGGAGCGGATAATTGTGCCCGGAAAAGAAGTTATGAGAGTGCACCACTCCCCCTTCCCTCATTTGTCATGCATACCCGACTGCACCATATCAAAAACCTTTGCACCGTCGCCGCAAGCAGCTACGGGCGCAGGAGATCTAACTTTGTCATGCAAATGGCACTACACTCCTATCCAACTTTGTCATGCAAAACCTGTACTCTTGCCGACGCTTGTATTGCTGTTCATGCAATACAAATGAGGGGGAGCGGGAGTTGTGCATTTTCATAGAAGTTGTAGTTCTTTGGGCTCGTCGTGTAAGAACTACCTTTCTGCACTATCCTGAGTAAAAACGTCCCCACACCAGAGTTGTCATGCAGATTTGCAATGACAGGAACATTTGTAATGCGCATCGCCAGGAGAGAATTTTTAGTCGTGTTTTGGAATTTGTAATGCTGTAAACAGGATGAGTAGATGGATTTATGACGCAGCTGGCCTTGCGAACCTGCACTACACTACGGACTGCAACTTGTCATGCGTGACTCACAAAACTCCTAGGTTTGTGTTGCAAAATCCCCATCCTGACTCTGGTGTGGGTACGTTTTTACTCAGGATATGCACGACCATCGGCGTCTGGTTCCCCTTCCACAGGGCGGTCGTTTGTTGGTCAAGAACATGTGGCTGCTGATAATGCTGCTGCCACGAGTAGTTGTGCTTGCTCCCTTTGTGGTTCCCTTTCCCAAATGCTAGCCCTTGCACCCGTTTCATCCCCTTGTAAGTGATCCATGATGCATTTTTTGCATCTGGTATGCTGTTCATCCAGCCGCGTTTTGCATTTTCATCTTCTGTGGCGGCACATAACCACGAAGACGCTTCCGCCCCGGGCGCTGGCAGAAAAGAAGTCACAGCCGTGTGCGCCATAACGGGTTCTTGCTCATCGCCACACTTAGAAGTGCTGGTACTGCCATGGTTTTCATCCAGTAATGCACGGTCATGCACCTGCTCCTTTCCATCATTTTCATTTTCTTTCTGCTGCAAGAAGTGGTCGCCACGACCCGCTTTATTTTCCTGTGGACGACGAGAGCTACCCTCGGTGTAGTGGCCCAGAATCAGTTGCGTAATACTTTCACCGTTTTTCTTCAACATCTCCGGCGGATTTCTATCTCGCTTGGTGCAGAACTCGGCTCTTTGAAGATGCTCGTGGTCCTTGTGAGCACCAGCACCCGTAGTTGTCGAGACGCTATGAAAGCCTCAGGTTGGAAATCCTCAACGTGGAAATAATTTGTAATGCAAAAAAACGACTCCAGTTGAAGCGGCATTTGTAGTCGGCGCATGACAAATTTACTGGGCACTTAAAGCATGTCTGTCATGCAGGTTAAGGCAAGGGGGTGCCCTTCTGTCGTGCTAAGCAGCACTCCAATTCTTCACCCCTAGCAGGACAATAGTCGGCCTGCGTTGCGTCCTCTGCAATACAGTCTTTTCTGCGTCGCATTTCATGCATCACAAATCATTTTCACTTTGAGGATTTCCATTCTGAGGCTTTCATAGACGCCTCTTACAGGCCGTTGTTCGTCCGCAACCTCACAAGTCTGGGGCTTGCCCATGGGTGAGGGTAAACGCAGCCTATCAGAATGAAAAATCCCCCCTCCCCATATCAAAGCGAAGTTTCTGATGCTGGATTTGCGTACACAAATCTGATTTGTCTTGCTGGCGAGGACTGCAGGTCCATACTAAGCCTGAGTCTACAGGTTTTGGCCTAGGCGCTTAGCATGACAGACGTCGGCGTTGTAGCCAAAACAGCATGACAAACCGCCTGTAGAATGCGGCGGAGCTTGGGGAGTTGCGTTCATGCAACACAGAGACGATTTGTGACCTCAAATCAGCAACACAAATTTTCGGCAACATACCTTTTCAGTATGGGGAGGGGGGATTTTTCCTTTTGATACAGCCGATCGTCTGACGACGAGGAACTGCCCAGGTCGTGCGGTTGTTCTACTTCATGATGTGTCAAATGTAAAAGTGTCTGGGTCTGGAAACTTGTGATGCTGGGTGGCGTCTCATGAAGAGGCCAGAAGTGCTGGCTCAGCATGACAAATTTCTGAGCTTGTAGGTGTTGCCTATTCTGCATGACAAATTGCGTCTCCGCATGACAGAAAAATGCGGCTCTTGGGCAACGTGCATGACAGATTTAATAGTCATGCCAGGCAAGCATGACAAACATGCATTCTTCCAGACCCAGACATTTTTACATTTGATATGATGCGCCGCGCCACCTTGATGTTCACCGGTAAAAGGTCTCGCAGACTCTTGAAGTGCTGCGCTAGCTGCATCGTGTGCGTTTTGCACTTCCACTTCCGTACTATTAGTCGGGAATGAGCTACAATCCGGTGAGGGGAAAAGCAAACCCGGGGATGGAGTTAACGTCAAACTTGCAGAGGACGATAAAGCCGCTGATGCACCTCCGGAGTTCAACATCTTGCTGACGCCTTTATGATCATGATCTTCTTCTTCTTCTTGAAGATCATGACCAAGAGTGATCTCACAGGCTGCACTATTGTCTTTAACATCCACAGTTGATGGTGTAGCACGACACGGACTTGTTTTGCGCGCTTCCAGTTGTTCCGACCGCACCGACTCCGGCGCCAGTCGCGACTGGTTTGTTTCCTTGTTGCAAGAGCAAGAACTGCTCTCCGCAGTAGCTACACAGTCGATTTTCAAGTGCAGGTCACCGGAAGATGAAAATCTTCGCTCTGCGGCCACCGCCGCGGTACGACCAAACAGGCTCGTGTCCGCCCCAGCGGGAGATATCCTATGTAAAAGCGTCCCCACCCCAGGGTTGTCATGCAAATCTGCACGGTAAAAATGCTGCCCATGCGGAGACCCATGAAAGGCGTTTTTTAGTCGTGTTTCGCGATTTGTCATGCTCCAATCGGCATGATGTGCTACATCTGTGATGCTGCTTAACTAGCTAAACAGGATTACACTATGGGGCCAGATTTGTCATGCAGAACTCCCAAAACTTTGGGATTTGTGTTGCAGACTTCTCATCTTGACTATGGTGTGGGGATGTTTTTACATATGATAGGAGACACCACTTCCTCACTTCCGAAGTCCAGCGGCGGCTCGCGGGCCGCACTCGAGGCCGGGGTCCTGTCGTCATAGGGAGGGGTACTAGGGGTTTGCGGATGTTGTTGCTGACCAAGAGTTGTACCGGGCATTCGGTAATGAGTTCTGTTCCTTCGCCGGTGTGGGCCAGGCTCTTGCCCGCATGTTACACCACTCTCGGCGCTGCCGGGTTCCTCGGGAGCAGGTGCTGCTACTGGTTCACCTCCCGAAGTAGAATTCGGCTGGGCCTGCTCCTGGGGAAAAAAATCAGGATTATCTCGCAGCCCGCGATCATCATGATCGGTCGAAGCTGCTCCACCTGTGGCCGGATAGTATACCTGCCCAGACTGCTGGACCTGCCCGCCAGACGGTGACTGGGACGAAGCTGAAGACGAAGTAGATGAGGAGGCACACCTATTACTTCCCGGCTCAGCATCCGGGCGCGAGCGCCGCGGAAGCGCAGTATCTTCATATGCCGGAGATCCGATGAACTTCGGATCGTAACACTCTCGCATGTAAGATGAAGAATTCTCTTGCGAAGTGTTTCTGTCGGAGGAGGAACGTTGTGGAGTCTTTGCATTTGAAGCAGGGTCAGTGAAGTGCTTTTCTGCATTAAAATTCACCCCGTCCTGGTGGTCGTCGTCGTTGTGATCACGACGACCAGAGATCATCGACGTAGATCCATGCTCCACTTCTACTTTCGGTGTAGTTTTATTTGCTTCTTGTTTCGGAGAGAAAAGGTCCTGCTGGTGCGCCGATCCGGGAAGATCGTCGTCGGACAATGAATTTGATGTGTGCCTAGTTCTACTCCGGGGGAGATGTTGATCCTGTGTCCAAATTGTTTGGTGCAAGTCCTCGTCACGGTTGTTGTCCTCGGGGTAACAAAACACACCCCCGCTGCGATCTCCCCGGCTGCTGCTCGAGTCCCCAGGTCGTGGGAAACCACGGGCGCCAGTCCCCAGGTGCTCATCTTGCTGCTGCTGCTGCCGAGAAGTAGAAAACGACGGCGAGACCTCCGTGTCCTCATAAAATTGGTCTGATCCCGTCTGGTCATCCACAGACGAACTCCAGGAAGTGCGAGATACAGATACAGCTTCTTGAGGACGGCATGATTTCTTCTCCTCCCGTCTTCTCCTCCGCCGCAGGTTGGAGGATGAAGATGCGCCGGCGCGAGTTAATCTTTCCGTGTAGTTGATGCTGGTCCCTCGATCAGTTATTTTCTGCATGATCTCGGACTCGTGCAGCGTTCCCCAGCCCATGTTTTTCAAAAGCATCTCGTCGACGGCGTCTTTATCCATCACCCGTGGGGAAATCGTGGTTTCCTCCAGGTGAGGCGCGTTCTTCGTGCGGAAAGTCGGACGGATCTTTTTTTCGAACGAAGCTGGGGTCCCAGGACGACGACCGTCCCCCCAACTACCAGGGCTGTAACCTCCGTCTCCATCGGAAGAAAGCAGATCGTCGTTGGTAATGTAACCCTCAGATCTCTTTTCGCCGCCCTTTCTGGAATCATGGAAGCTCGTTTTTACATTTTGCGCCGCTGCATCCGGGTTGAAATAAATGCCCTCTCCCCTAGCTCTTACGCACCTACTTGTCTGGCCAGGATAATCATTTGATGTACCAGAAGTTGTAGGACTACCACTACCACCATGTGGTCCTTTCAGTCGCATCCTCTGCGTGATTCCTCGCGGGGTGAAGCGCCTACCCAATAACATCTCCGCCCGGTAGGCCAGGAGCAGGTGCTTGCTGTAGAGAAAATTGTCGGGGTCGCTTCTGACATCAGGAGGTCCTCCTGCAGCTTGAGGATACTGCTGCAGTATTAGAGCCCTGGCGTTGTGTTTGTGGCTAGAGGTGGAAGTAGATGCCGCTCCGCAGTCCTTGCCCCTAGTTGTACCCCGTTGCAGACAATTCCGTCTCGTCCGTTGCGACTCTACATCAGTTTCTGTTTCTTCCAAAATGGTGTGCAAATTTTCCTTGACACAAGAATCCTCCCGTCTTGAGTGGGTACGGCTGAAGGAGGATTTTTTCGATGTTTTCGCTTTCCCTTCTTCGGAGCTCGAGCTTCGCATCAACGGCCCGGTGGATGAACTGGAGCTGCCACGTTCTCCTTGCTGTTCTTGGTTGCGATCATGATAGTACCCGAAAGAGCTATCGTTTTCGCACTTCATTCTATCAGCCGAAGAAGTAGTGGCTTGCTCCGCTCGATGATGATGAAACTGGTCTCGTCGAATCCTGCCTCCGCTGTCGTGATATTCCGAAATAAACTCCAAATCCTTTTCAGTGTCTTGTCCCGCACCGCCGCTGCCTGCGGCCAAGCTGCCGCCAACAGCTGCAGTCCCGTCCTCAGCACTGGTACTATCCTGTGCAAAAGCATCGCACTCATAGTAATCGCAATCATGCATTACAAACTTCCATCCCAAGAAGGGAAAACAGCATGAAAAATTCCATTTGTCATGCTGAACGAATTTGTGATGCGATTACTACTAGGACGATACTTTTGCAATGCATAGGTACTAGCCAGCAACAATTCCTTCTGTTTTTTCGCCTCCTCTTTCCGCGCCCTTTTTTCGCGTTTCTCCTCTCGCAAGAGCCTCTTTCGCGCTTTCTCCTTTTCAATCTGGTCCGACACGACATTATGACACACGTCCAGCTGCTTCGCAAACTCCCCGTCCGCGCATTTCTGGCAATAGAGCGACAACACGCAAAACTCGTTTATCCTCTGGAAAAACGTTCCCACCCCATAGTCAGAATGGTAAGTCTGCAACACAAATCTCCAAGCTTTGGGAGTTGTCCATGACAGGTTTCCATTTGCAGTGTAGTTCTGGTTAGCCAGGGCGGCCGCATGAGAAATCCACTTTCTTATCCTGGTTACAGCATTACAAATTCCAAAATTCCAAAACAAGCCTGGAAACGCATCTCATAGAGATGCGCATATACAAATGTTCCTGTCATTGCGCATTTGCATGACAACTCTGGGGTCGTGGGGACGCTTTTACATATGATATCGTTTTCCACTTCCTCACACCGGTCGACGGAATCACCAAAATCCCTTGCAAATTCCTCACTCAAGCCCGCTACATCGCAGCCCGCACGACACACGTAGCAACCCGTTGGTACCGGGACGTCAAATGCCGTCGGATAGTTTTCCACTGAAGTTCTTGTACTAGCATCGTAGCAAAAATTGGTAGAACAAGGGGTGGTTGCCAAAGAGTTGCAGTTTGTCTGTAACTCGCTTTCCAAAGGCGTTTCCACCGCGCGGTCAAGTAGATTGAGAGGCAGGGTCTGTGGCGGTTCTTCTTCAACTTCAACTGCGCCCTTGCAGGATGAGGGCAGTTGAATTTCATCTCTATCTCCTGCCTGCTTGTTTTCTTCTCCTTGCGCACCATCCGCGCGGGGGCGGCCGGTGGTTGTTTCATTAGAGTTGTCCTCCGCTTGGACACTTTCGGTTTTGCCACCGTGCTGGTCCCGATCCTGGTCAACATCCTGCTGTAGTTCTCCTGCTACTACGGCTGATGTTGTGGAGGATTTCTTCTCCTCGCAGTTTTCCTGTTCTCTTGCCGCGGGAGCGGGAGCCGTTGGCAAGTTCTCTACTCGAGGGCGGTCTTGGTCTTCGTCCGCCGCTTTTGCATTTTTGGTACTATCCACCTGCTGTTCATTTTGCAGTAGAACTTCGTCTGTACAATGTTCTCCTTCTCTGCTCGTCCTCCCGCCCTGGTCATCATCATGTCTACTTGCGCTTTGTTGTTCTCCTGGACCAGTAGTAGCTGTAGCTCCTTCTCCACCTCCACCTGCAAGAAGTGCTGCACTCTTGTCCACCTCCATCGTAGTTCTGTACAGAGCCGCCTCCTTCCTCTTCTCCTGTTCAATTTTCCGAATTCGCTCCTCCTTCTCCACCCGCTCTTGCTCCGCCAATTTTAGCCTTTCCTTGACCACCGCCACGGCCCGCAGCGTGCAGGGCTCCACTCCGCATTTGGCGCAAAAATCGGCATCGGACACCTCCGGTTTTAACGCCGGGTGGAGCATCAACTCGTGCTCTTCCAAGTACATGAGAAATCCATTGCAGTGCATGCAGTGACTCCCCTTCCGGAGTAATTGCAGTCTTGCCCCGTTGGTCAACGCACCAGGGTAGATAAAGGAGCAATACCTTTGCAAGTAGGTCGCGAAGGTCTCGGGGGCGAACTGTGCCCACTGCTGCACTTTCTCGGATAAAATATCCATCGCGGACAGGTTCATGCTAACTTCGGAGTTGTTCAAATCCAATTTTGTGTCCCACAAGTGACTCATTTCGTCCTTCAACCACTGGGGGACTCGGTCTTGATTCACCAAGTCAAGAATCGGCGCGATGTAGTCTTTCCGTTGCACGGCGTCCATGATAACCGACCCGATCTTCACGGTCAGTCGCTTCGACAGGCCCTCAATAAACTCCCGCACTTTGTTCGCGCCGTAGAAAATGTGCGTCTTCAACAAGGTCGACCGGGTGATCAGGACGTCGATGCTTTTATTCGTGTTTTCGTTTTGATCCATAATCAACTGTCTGCTCGCACAAGAACTCGGATGATGTTGTCTTTCGCATTCCTGATTTTTTCCCGCTCCAGCTCCGGCATTCAGCGCCTCCTGCTGCTGAAACCAGTGGATTTCGTTGGCCGCTCGCAAATCGCTGTAAAAGGCCTGCCTCGCTTGGGAAGGAGCTCGATCTGCCCCCGCAGTGAGAAAATCAGGATCATGGTCCTGGCAATAAGACGCTTTAGAGGAACAAGAGGAGGCTTGTTCCTTCTTCAAAGTAATCTTCCGGCTGGCGGAGGTCTGTGCAGGAGTGGAAGAAGTTGACGACGCCGAGCTGCAAGCGCTGCTACTGGACTGGTTGGAAGCACGCGGAAGGACCTCCTCGCCGGGAATCGAATCTTTCACACCGTTGCGACCCCCTGCTCCCAGCACTACCGGCCCAGCAGCTGCAGCGCCCGCCGATCGTCCGCTCTTCACGGCTGGAGAGCCTGCGCGTCTTGGTGTCGTGCAAAAGTTTTCCAAAATCGTGACTAAGATTTGCTGGTCGAGGTCCTCGTGGCTGTTTGGACTGTGTTATGCCGTGCAAAAGTACCGTACTCGTATAAATGCATTACAAATTATTTTCTCAGCATCAGAAATGAAATTTGTGATGCGGATTTACCTTTAAGAAAAAGATTTGTATTGCATGATTGCAATACGAGTACGATACTTTTGCAATTCATATGTGTTTAACATTTCCTCGGAATTTTTCGAGAATCTGGTGCTGAGTTGATATTTTCTGATGGAGATCAACACTATTCATCCTCGTTGCAACCCCGAGAGTTGTCACTTGTTCGCCTACATCAGAACTGTCTTCTTTACCGCGATTGGTCTTGTCACTGTGTTTGCCGGTCGCGTGAGGACGTCCATCCGTGGTCAGAAGAGCTTCCCTCGGTTGTAATTCAGCGTCTTCATTCTTTTTGTCTCCGCGGCAGTCTGGAGCAGCCTCCGCCTCTTGTCCTAGTCCTTGTGCTTCTTCCATATCTAGATGTACTGCATCAGCTTCCTCATCACTCTTTGCGGCCCCGTTGATATCACCTGTATTCAACAGCAGTGCGACCTCGTCCGGAGGCGCCATCACATCGACCAAACTGACCTGGCAAAAGTCGTCTTTCCGGGCCTTCACGTGCTGGTGGCCTCCAACCATACTGCTCGTGCCGCCTCCTCCACCGCTGTTGTAAGCAGGCTGTTGAAGAAATAAATTCTCGCACTCGTCGGAGTTCTGGCCCCCACCACCCACTCCGCAGCTGTGCTCGTAGGTCAACAGACCCGTCCAGTAGATCTTGTAATCTAAATCTAGAGAGAAGCACTTCAAGGCGTGCTTTTCCTTTTTCGACAAAGAATTAACCTTCGCCTTTAAGCAGTCCCGCCACGGCTGGTTCGCCGGTGTTTCCGGCGATTCGTGCATCATTTTCTGCCTTCGCGTCATGCGGTAGAGCTGCGTTAGGTCGCGGCTGACGCGGCGCCGCATCCACTCATTGTCTTCCAGATCCAAAACGCGGACGACGATCGTTTTTTTGGCGGTTTTAGTGGTCGTATCGCCCTGTTTGTGCAGCTTGCCGTCTTCTACTAGAGATGGTCCTACAACTTGAGCTGCCGTGAGATTGGACGTCGTGGTCACGTGTCCATCGCCTGGTGCTTCAGGGCGCAGCTCCTGCGCTGAGTCCTGTTTGTTCGCAGGAGGCACAGGCGGTGGTGCTGGAGCGTGATCACTTCCATCAACAACGTCACCTTGTTGTTCCCCAGGAGCGCCGCCGTCGTCGTGGTCTAAATCTTCACCACTGCAGCTACTGTAGGTTTCATCACGTGCGTAGAAGTTGTACTTCCTGCTTTTTGTCTTTAGAAACCACTCCGAGGTTTTTTTCTGAATGACAGAAAGAATTTCGCACTCAATTGCGTCGCAATTTCGCTCGGACCGTGCGTAAAGCTTCAGATACGGACTCAGCATCGGGCTGCCAAGTGGACGACTAGGTGGGCCACTAGTACTTCTTTGCAAATTCGGATGTAATGGTGGCAAGGATTCCTCCGTTGGCTTACCGCTAGTACTATAACTCGGATAGCAAGGGGGCGATGAATTCGGACCTCCCGAGTTCTTTCCACTTTTATTTCCGGATGCAGCCGCCCCGGGGAAAAAATAAGACCCTTCAGCAGCGGATGTTCTGTTTGACTTCTCTTGTTCGGCGGGATGAAATGATCCATATCGCTGAACAAGCCCAGACGTAGTAGAAGCCGTGTTGCTACTGCTGATCGACTCGAGATCATCCTTGTCTCGTTGCATATCGCGTTGAAACGATTCCTTCCGCCGCAGCTTCCTTTCCGCGTCCCACCAGTCACTCTTCCCCCAACTGCTGTGCCCGCCATACAGCAAACTGCGGAGCTTGTCCTGTGTGGTCTTCTGACTCAGCAAGCCGTCAACGCGGGCGCGGTTCACATCAATCGCGTTGGGCGCAGTGCTGGAGCAGAGTCCGCCTGGAGTAGTTTTTCGAGTAGAAGAAGAAGCCGGGGAGCTGTTACTGTTCCCAGTGGAACTTCGGTTTAGGTGCTGAAAATGCTCATAGTAGTGAAAATTGTCAACTTCGCGCTCCTCATCGGCATGATTACTTGTACTGTTTACCGATAGCCTCGGAAAATTATCTTCTGCCCCAAGGCCGCTACCGTGCTTCACAATTTGATATTGCTGCTGAAAAGGGTCCTTCTGGCCGCGGTGGAGCTTGTTGTCAGCACCAACGCCGCGCCTCTTACCACTTGCAAACCCGTTATTATTTTCCAGCTCCTGAACAATGTGGTCTACTTGTTCGTGTTGGGTATTGTAATCATCTTCATTCTTGTTTCTCACACGGAAAGATGAGCCACCACCTCCGCCTGGAAAAGCGTTCCGCTTTCCCTTTACGCCGCTCAGGTTTGTTTGCTCGTGGTCAGTAAAGTGGCGTGAATGTTGTCCTGCTGATCTACCTGCGTGTTCCTGTCCGTGGAAGAATCCGTCGTCGTAAAATTGTTCCGCTTCAGCACCGCTGTCCGCCGGACTGTTGCAGGAGCCGTGGAGAAGGTCTCCGTTTATGTCACGTTCTTCTTCTTCCCAATCCTCCCAGACCTCTTCAACCGCATACCCCTTCCCGTCCGCCTTTTCCATTTTGATGTCCAGCTGCTCGCAAAGCGCCTTCAGCTTTCGATTAGTTTCCATCTGGAGTAAAGTCGCGTCATCTGGGTTATTGGTGCGGACGTTCAAATATGAATTGCAAAGGTATCGCACTCGTATAAATGCATCACAAATTTCCTCAGCATGAGAAATAAAATTTGTAGTGCCGATTTACCTCAAGAAAAAGATTTGTAAATGCATGATTGCAATACGAGTACGATACTTTTGCACAGGATATCAAATGCGCGCATTTCTCGTTGTAGTCTTCTTCCAACGTCTTCAGTTGTCGTAGGAACTCCTGCTCGATTTCCGGAGGCAGCAATTTTGCACTGTTGGCGAACACGCTGAAAATCTTCGGCAGGGCGGGGGTGCTGTTGGGAGCTGCGGGTTTCTTCTGGTTGATGTTGGGGTAGCTGGTAGTATGCTGTTGACTTGCCGCAGTGGAGGAGGACGCAGACTGACCTTTCATCGAAGTGGAAGAGCTGCTTGTTTTCATGGTGCAGCTCCCTTGTTTATTCAGCACCATGTTGTGCTTTTTTGCAGCCGCGGCCCCGGATCCGAGATCCCCGTCTACTTCGTAGTTATTGTCACAGAACCCGTCCTCGTCCTCGTCATCCAGCGGGTGAGTTAGGTAACTGTAATACTCCATCGATTTTTTGATCAACTCCGGATCCACATTCCCTTCGTTCAGCAACCGTTCCCAGATCCGTACGGCTTTCCCTTGTGCCCGCTTCTGCACCGCCTTTCTTTGCCGCTTCTTCGCGTTTTTCTCCCGGTTTTTGCGCCGCTTCAGCTCCGTCTTTTCGTCAATGGTTTCATCTCCTGTGGCGGACAGAGAGCCAGAACCTGGGTGTTGATCCACGAGGACACTACTTCCTGTCGTGGGACCAGGAGCTCCACTTGAGGGTGGACCTCCAAGGGTTTGTTGTCCCCCCGGGACGACGACCCCAGCTGCACCTCCCCGTCTGTTTCGGAGGTCGTTGTGTCTGTTGCTGGTGTTCAAAGGGTCTTTCGGGGTAAGGGAAACGTAGACCGTTGTGTCCTCTCCTTCTCCTTCCCTAATCACTCTGGCCCTCTCCACCGGTTCGCTGCTCGTAGCCGCCGCTAAAGCTGCGTAAACGACCGTGGCGGCTCCTGCTTTGTC